TTTCTTCATCACCTTTCGGCATTCATTGTGATGGGAAGACCTAGGAGGGTCATTCTTTTGTTTTCTTCAGTCAATAGCCTCTTTCTTTTTTTAAGATAATTCCTTCTGTTTTAAATTTTTTTAATTGCCAATATTTTTGTACCTGTTAATATTTTGGATAAAACGCACTGAATACACACTCGTTAGGTTGATTTTGTTTGTAAAGTCAAGAATATTTTCGCTTATTATTGCTTCAGCTTTCCTTTCTCAGTAGAATTAATAAGATAGATCCTGGGACCTGTTTTCTGTACTAGCTGTTCTTTATCTCTCATTTACATATATATATTCTTTCTGTTCTCTAGTATAGTTTCTTCAGTTTATCCTTTCATTAATATAGTTTTCTACAGTGTCATATTTATTATTTTTCTATGCCCAACATAGATGCCGAATGGTACTGCACTTTAAATTCCAAAGTCTCTTCTTGTTTGGCTGATTGTATTTTCAGTAAGTCCTGTTCCTGTTTAGTAGGAGAATTTCAGTAGTAGCTACTAAAAACACAAGGCGAAGAGTTTCTAAGAGTATTTTGATATCATACAAAAAAATCTACATCAGAGGGCGAGAAATCTACATTTGATTCCAGAATATTGGGCCATTTTTCTCCTTCTCTCGTATAAAATAATAGATTTTCACAGATCTTTGTTAATTTTTGTCTCTTTGATCATCTCTTTAGGTGAGAGATGAGCCCATTCAGGAAAAGGCTGGAGACAAATATAATGCATCCAGCTCCAGGCTGGAAAGAAAGAGGATAGTAAGTTTTCTGTTCAGTGAATAAGCAGGCACCAAATAGGAACCATATTTGTACATTTTGCCTACTTTGAAGACCTCTTAGTGTTACAAATGGATGCTTAGGGGAAAGGAAATGGATTATGAAGCACATAATCCATTAAATGCTCACAAGTCAAATGGTGGTTTCTGTCCTTGAGTACAAATGAAAATATCTGGAGTGACTGGAGCTGGAAATCTGTGATACATGGCAGGCAGTGAGGCATTGCGAAAGAATGTTGACTGCTGAGAGGCTGAATGTCAATCCTGACTCATTGTTAAGGCGATTACTTCATTTTCTCCAGAAAATCTGGAGAATGCATATCTCTTGCTCATATACAGCATAGACAGGCTGGGGTAGTAAATGTCTAAATTTTGGGGGGTCAAATGCGAAAAAGATGTGATTACCCTGGAAGAAATGGATGGCCATTTATTGGCGCTCCTAGAAATATGAAAGAAAGACAAATAGGATTAAAAACAAAGTGGAATCATTTCCAGGCAGAGACTGAGCCAAGAAAGGGGCCCAGGTCCTCCCTTTTACCCAGAGCACCCTTCGGCCTTGGCATCTGGTCCCTTGAATCGGAGTCATTGTCTGACTCTAGTGCAAACCGTGGCTCCATTGTGATTCTGCAGAGAGGCTGCCCCACATGCACTGATTTCCACCCACCTGGGGCTTCTTTGGGCTTATCCCACTGAGCTGTGACTCCGGCTGCCAGCCAGGAGGGCCTCTATCCAGGGTGGTGTCTTGAGATTTGTGCTTATTTATCGCACAAGAGCTACCAGGTAAATCCCTTTGCCATCCCATGGGAAATGTCAAGTCAGAGGCAAAGGTTGGGTGCTCCCTGTTTGAATCCAGGGTTTTGGGTCAGAGTGGATGGTGGCCAGGACCTGCATGCTTATTTATATCTGCCTTTGAGGATACTTGGATGGACCTTAGACTACCTGGAAAGTTCTAGAAAAGAAATGTAGGTTCTGCATATCAGGTGTTCTAAGGGATTTTCATGAAATCTAATGGAACAGAATAGTCTGAAATAGACGAGGTTCATAGGGTAGCTTAGTGCAATGCTTCTCAAACTCACTGTGCATTAGACTTATCTACGGACCTTGTAAACATGCAGATTCTTGACCGCATTCCCTGGGCTTCTCACTCATAGGTCTGCAGTTGGGACTAGGAATTTGCATTTTTCGTGAGCATTCCCAGCTGATTCTAGTGCAACAGGGTGACACAACAAATTCCACTTAGAAAAACACTGATTTCTGGCCATGCTGGCAAAGTAAGCACTTAGATCAATCTGTTGTGATGAGTACTGGCCAAGAATGGGTTTGTCAAGAACTACAGAAGGAAGACTATGTGCATCCCCTCCCACTGGTTGAGCACTGCCTTGCGCCTAACCAGACTTCCTCGGCAAGCAGGGTTCCTGCAGTCTCCAATTATATGCATTGTTGTTAAGAGAGTCTATCCCAGAGGAAAGGGAAGTAGCAAGTAAAGGGAAGAAACTTTCCTTCTGTCAGGGTCAGACTGATGCGCTCAACTGGAAAGCCCAGTGACAGAGAGAGAAATAGTGTATTGTGATATCATTCAGTGCCTGTCTGCCCACATCTCCTCTAAGGGAAACTTCCCCACTCACAGCCCCTGATTTCCTGGTGGCCACATTGAGTACTATAAGAAGGTGCATCCCTCCCCACAGCTGAATAGGCCAAGGATGGGCACCTGAACCCGAGGCAGGCATTTCTCAGGTAAGGTAAGACATGAACTGGCATGAAAAGATGAACCAGGCCAATCAGATTACCTCTTGGGAATTTGTTGGGAAACATGGAAAACCCAAACCAGTTATTAGTCGGTGATAGTTTATCAAAAGATCATGTCATAGCAAGAAAGGCTGGGGAAGCTATGATGAACTATGAGTAGACAAAAGAAGCTGGTCAGTGGGGAGAAGAAAATACAGCAGATATGCAGAGAGAAAAGAAATTTCAAGAAAGGTTGAGAAATGAGAAAAACAAGAAACCTGGTTAAGAGCACCAGATAAAAGCAAATAATAAATGCTCTCCAGCTCAAGGAACATGTAGCCTTACTTGAGCAAGCTTGAGAGGGTCTCCACTCCTGCAATGAAATACCCATAAACAATGAAGAGGGACCAAAATTAGACCAAACGTTTATGTCCCCTAAAATTCATGTGTTGAAACCTAATCTCCAATGTAATGGTATTAGGAGGTGGGGACTTTGGGAGGTGATTAGGTCATGGGGTTGGGGGGTGGGGGTCTCATGAATGGGATTAATTCCCACATGGAAGAGACCCCAGAGAGCAGCCTCACCTCCTTCCACCATGTGAGGACACAGCAAAAGACAGCCATCTGTGAACCAGAAAGTAGGCCCTCACCAGACACTGAATCTGCCAGTGCAGATCTCGGACTTCCCAGCTTTGTTTATAAGCCACCCAGTCTATGGCACATTTTTTATAACAGCCCAGAATTCTCAGACAAACATTTAATGAACTCTTATTGCATGCAAGATACTTGCTGAGTGTGTAATGTATTCTTTCTCATTTTGCACTCACAATAGCACTGAAAAAAATGCATTATAGTGCTTGCCTGTTCTATTTTATCACCCTTATTTTTTAATTTAATTTTATTTTTTTATACTTTTATTTATTTATTTAGCCCCACTGTGCGGCATGCAGGATCTTAGTTCCCTGACCAAGGATTGAACCTGTGCCCCTTGCAGTGGAAGCATGGGCTCCCAACCACTGAACCACCAGGGAAGTCCCTATCACTCTTATTTTAGATATAAGGAAAATTAATAAATTGTTTTGCTCTGAGCTGTCCAATAGGGTAGCCACCATATGTGGCTCTTAGGCACTTGTCCAAACTGAGATGTGCTGTAAGTGTAAAATCCACATCAAATTTTGAAATTTAGTAAAAAAATTTTTTAAAGAATGTAGACTATCTCATTATTCATTTTTGATTGAGAACATGCTGAAATGATATATTTTAGATATATTAGATTAAATAAAATCTAATATTAAAATTAATTTCACCCATTTCTTTTTACTTTTTTTTTTGTGGGCCTCTCACTGTTGTGGCCTCTCCCATTGTGGAGCACAGGCTCTGGACGCGCAGGCTCAGCGGCCATGGCTCACGGGCCCAGCCACTCCGCGGCATGTGGGATCCTCCCAGACCGGGGCATGAACCCACGTCCCCTGCATCGGCAGGCGGACTCTCAACCACTGCGCCACCAGGGAAGCCCTTCTTTTTACTTTTTAAATGGAGTTATTAGAAAATTAAAAATTGCATATGTGACTTATATTTGTCAGTCACATTATCTTTCTTTTGGATAACACTGGTCTAACCTGTTAGCTTATGAGACAAAAAATAGTGATGCATGAAAAGGAGAAAAATATAAGCTTCCCTTCATGATGTCACACTCACCAGTCCTCACATTGGAAAGCAAATTCAACAAATACTAACCAAGTGCCTGTGGGAATCTCCAGAGATAGCCACCACAGTTTTTCCCCTCCCTAGATAAGCATGTCCCTCCCACATCAAGAAGCAGAGCTTAATTCCCCTCCCTTGAATCTGGGCTGGCCTTATAACTTGCTTTGACCAACAGAGCATGGTGGAAGTGACATTATATCTGTTTTGAGTGTAGCCGTTAAGAGGCCTGGCAGCTTCCATTTCCACTTTTATTCTTGGAAGCCACCACCATGGTATAAAGAAGCTGTGGTTATACTACTGAATGGACAGATAGAGGCCAGGTGGAGGAGCACCTAAGAGCCAGACATGTGAGCAGGGCCTTCTAGGACCTTCCAGCACAGCAGAATGCAGCCTAACTAGTGACCCTGCCAACGCCATGTAGCATGAACTGCTCCACCAAACACAGCCCAAATGGCAGAACCATGAGAAATAATACATCACTCTTGTTCCAAGCTGCTAAGTTTTGGGGTGGTTTGTTATATAGTAATAGTTAAAGACAGTGTGCCTTCTGCAGGCAACACCCTGTGATAGACAGAGCCTGGCACTGACAGCATAACTAAGGATGTCTCCCAACCTCCATGAGCTTAGAGTCTAAGGGGGACATCATACACTTGTATACAAAAACAAGTTTAATATGGGATATAGGAATCAAGGGGGATAGGCATTTTAAGTCGAATATTGCAATGGTTGTTGAAGCAACTCACCCAGAACTTCATACTGCTTGGAAGTAGCGTCTTCTCGCAGGTCCCAGGGTTCTTAAGGCCCTTTTCTTCCCCATTCAGGCCTGATGAGGAGGGAAGCAGCCGCTCCAGCTACCTCTCTTGGCTCTCCTTAAAGCCAAGTCCACACGTCTAACCGCTGTTTCCAGCAGCACAGCCAGAGAGAAAACAAGATGCAAATATGGGAAAATAACACAGGTATTGAACTCTTACAAAGTTTTTATTCTCCACTGGTCTAGGCTTCCTCACAGCTCCCCAAATGTAGTAAACAAGAGCATGTTGGGGGCTTATAACCTCCACTTTCATTTCCTTTTGACTCTGTACCAAGGGTCCTCTGGGCCATTTTCCCCATTGAAGTCTCTCTGCCTGAAGGTGACATCCAGGCACAAATAGGTGCTCTTTGTCTCAGGTTGGCCATTTGCATCTCTGTAGTGTTCATGCCTGGGTGACACCCACTTGACTAAGCATTTGCCCCTTGTGGGCTCAGAGTCCCTCATTTACATTTCCCCACAATAGTGAAAGGCTTACAAGCTGTTGAAATACAGTTGCTAAACAGCTAGTAATTCAGCCAGAAGACAGCCCTTGAAGGGTTGGAATCAGAGTGATTCTGAGAGCTCTAAACCCCTAGGCATTGGCACTATGACCAACCAGTGAAAGTAAAGGCAGAGTGAGAAAACTAAGAGCACCTCAACCATGCCTAGGGCAAATGTTTTGCTGACCACTTTCCCCCAGGGCTTCCTCAATAAACCCCAGGAGAAAGGATTTAGTAGTTAAAACCAAATACACAAAGTAGAGCCACTATTTAGATTCTACATGGAAACAGTGCATGAGACAAAAATCACATATAGTCACAATTATCCTTCAACATCCTTTAATGCTTGTGAATAGAGCAGACATTGTTTTGTGTTTACAGCCCTGGACAGTAAATCTTATAACCATTGGATGTTCAAGACCACTGAGATACAAATGAAAGGGGAGAACAGAAGTAAATTTTACGTGTAGATGTCTGTTTTCAATGCATTTTACCTTGAAGATAACTGCTAAATTTTCATTCATCATTATTATTATTCTTCACACGTTCCTAGTAGGGAATGGGGGAACGGGTAGAGAATAATAATAAAAAACCATCAATGCTCGTGATAGGCACTGTTCTGACTGCCTTATGTGTATTAGCTCATGCAATCTTTACTGTGTTAGGAATCATTATCCCTAGTTTACAGAAGAGGAAACCCAAGGATACAGAGGTTGTGGAAATTATCTGAGATCTTCTGCTAGAACATGACAGCGCTTTCAGGAGTAGGTGGTATAAAGCTACTTGTGAAGGAAATATAGGATTTCAATAAATGGAACTGAGGGACAGGGAAGGGTATTGGGGTGGAAGGCACTGCATGAGCAAAGGAATAGAAGTTGGAAAATACAGGGCAGGTATGGGGAATATTCTTTTGTAGCTGGAGCAAAAGATGAGTGAGATCTGTAATCTTAGGTTGGATAACCAGGTGTAATGGCTAATTTTATGTGTCAACTTGGCTGGGCCATGGGTGACACCATGCACCTCAGATTGGGACTCGAACCCACATGGCCAGGACTCCAACCCAGCCAAAACCCACAGTCTTCCAACTGAGATCACCTGGTTTCAGGACTTAATGAAGCTCAGGTTCTTGATGTCTCATCACAGAAAGAATTCAGTGAGAGACAAAGTGATAGGTAAGAAGTGGGTTTATTTAGAGAGAAACACACTCCACAGACAGAGTGTGGGCCATCTCAAAAGGTGAGAAAGGCACCAGGGTATGGGGTTGTCAGTTTTTATAGAGGTGGGTAATTTCATAGGCTAGTGAGTGGGAGGAGTATTCCAGCTATTTCAGGAAGGGGCGGGGATTTCCAGGAATTGGGCCACCACCCACTTTTTGATCCTTACTGTCAGTCTTGGAACTGTCATGGCGCCTGTGGGTGTGTCATTTAGCTTGCTGATGTGTTACAGTGAACATATACTGAGGCTCAAGGTCTAGTGGAAGTTGACCTGTCTGCCATCTTGGACCCATTTGGTTCTAATCAGTTTATGTCATGTCCTTGGGCTGTGTCATTCTTTCAAAGGTTGTGCCCTGCCCCCTTCCCTCCTATTTCATGGGTACCCAGATATTTGGTCAAATATTATTCTGGGTCTTGCTGTGAGAGTGTTTTGGGATTCAGTGGACCTTTACTAAGACAGGTTGCCCTCCCTAATGTGGGTGAGCCTCATTCAATCAGTTGAAGGACTGATTAGACTAAAAGGACTGGCCTCCCCCATGTGACAGAGAATTCTCCAGGCACCTACCTTTGCACTTCAAGAGTAACCTCAGTTCTTCCTGGGTCTACAGCAGACAGCCTTCAAACAAATTGCAGCATCAACTCCCCTGGGTCTCCAGCCTGCTGACCCACCCTGCCGATATTGGACTGACCAGGCTCCATAACCACAAATTCCCTGTAATATGTCTGCTTCTGTATATACACATTCCTATCGGTTCTGTTTCTTAGAGGAAATTGTGGGAGTCTCATAGAACTTGAGATCTGGAAGGCACCCTTAACCCCCCTCCCTCATTAGAAAAGCAGAAAAGAAAGAACACCACGTCTTAGAGAGTTTCAATGGCCAGTGAAGCCCACAGAGCCGGTAAATAGCAGAGGTGTGGGCTAGGAAGCTCCTGGCTCAGAACCCCTTCCCCGTCTCTCTTTCACGGCAGTGTGCTGTCTCCTTTAGGTCACACACAGGATGCAGGTGGGATTGTTGAGGGGACAGAGCTCTTCTGTGTGCTCCCTGCTACATGCACGTGGGGTTGGTGAGAGGACAGAGTTCTCCTGTGTGCTTCCCTCTACATTTCCTGCTTTCCTTCTCCAAACATGGTGTAATATCGGTGCTGGCTCCAAACATGTCATGACACAGGCCCATCTGTCATTATCCTGTGCTGTCCAGCACCTTTCAGGTAGGCTGCTCCCGAGAGCGGGCCAGGACCGAAGTGGGGCAAGCAGGCCTCACTTTTCCCAGCCTGACCAGCATTGACTGCTTTCTCTCCTGGCACGATTTTGGGATTTCCCGTTCCCCTCCGTACTGCATTTCCTGCTTACAGCAACTTTTTTTTTCTAGGTCAACTCAGCTGCTCTCTGATTCAGGCAAAACTAGAAAGGCAAGGGAAAATGAAAACTGGTCAGAGCTCTTTTGCTCTACTGTTCGCACTACAGAAACACCAGATAATTACCTAATCCTGCACCTTACCCACTCTGCCTCTATCTCACAATCCTGAGTATTTTGCTTACATTGTTCAAAGATCCCCTTAATCAAGTTCAAATTTACACCTCCTTGATGGAAAAGACAGGTGCAGGCGGCATTGGGGCCCTTGTGTACTGACCACTTTGGGCAATAGTATGAGATATCTCTGCATCGTCCACGGCTTGCCTCACCCACACTTCCAACCTACTTGTCCTCCCGGATGCAAATCCTTTCCTCCAGTCAAACTGGCCTTTTGATTGTTCCCTGAACTTGCCGTGTGTTTTTCCACCTTTAAACCTTTGCTCCCACCTCCTGCCCCCATGGAATGTCCTCCCCATTTCTTTCCACCTAGCCAAATCAGATTCGTTTCACCCTGATTCAACACCAACGGCAGGTGGGCATTGGGCCAGCACTTTCACATGTGTTATCTCATCCTGCAAGGCCTAGCATAAAATTCTTTTTATCCGTGAAGCCCTCTGGGGCTCTCCCAACTGGAAGTGACCGCTTCCTCCTTTCTGTTACTCTTATTGTCTGTACTACTCATTTGGCACTTAATACATCCTAGTACTCTGTAATGAATCATTCACTCATTCATTTATTTAAACAAGTATTTACTGAATGATTATTATTTTCCGGTGGGTGCTAGAGATTCGGAGATGAGGAAGACACCTTTGTTGTCCCCATGAAATTCAGTCTAGCAGTGAAAACCGACACATAAGGAGAGGATTATCATACAACGTGAGTGCAGGTTCGAGGAGACTTCCTGTGTGATCTCTGCCCAAGTTAAGCCTTGGTGAATGAGTAGAAGTCAGCCAGGTGAAGGTGGGGAGAGAGTACACTTTCAACACAGACAAAAGAACGGGACCCAGAGCTGAAGAGCAGCCAAGTATGTAGGAGACTCTGCAAGCAGCCCCTTCTTGCTGGAGCAGAGAATGTTGCTAAAGCATGGAATGTACAAGATATAGCAGGAGGTCCTGGAACACCAGGCTTAGATGCTCTGATTCACCCTGATGGTAGTGGTATGCCGTTGAGTGTCTTAAGCGAGGGATAGACTCAAGATCTGTGGTCTGAGATCACTGTGACTACAGTGTGAAGAATGGATCAAACCAGGGAGAGACTTGAAACCAGGAGCTGTAAGGAAGTTGTGGCAAGAACCCAAGGCAAGAGATAGGAGGACGGTGACCTGCCCCAGGAATGAGGAGGCTAAATACGAGCAATGTACACGATGTGAAATTACACCACACTCACGGCTCTGGAAGGCCTCACAACTGGTAATGTAGAAAATAAGTACAGTGCAATGCAGGGAACCTGTAATGGAGATAGAGAAGGTGCTATCAGGGGAGATAATGGCTGACACAGTCTAAAAGATAGGGAACAGGCCATCAATTTGTCAGTCACATAACCTGAATATTTATGCATACGCGTGATATCTCTTCTCCTAGACTGCAGGCTCACTGAGGGCAGGGGCTCTGAAAATACTAAAGCACATCAGTTCTTGTGACAAACCAAGGCCTCTGCTCTCACTGTTAGAGGTGGGTAGATTATGTCCCAGAAACCATGTCCTGCAGCAGGCAAGCCAGGAGTTTCTGCAGCAGGGGGCAAGGCAGGGAAGAAGCATTGAGACACGTTGCCCACAGGCCATGAGGGTAACGCCCAGAGCATGGAGTTGGAGCCAGGCAAGGCTGAATTCACATCTCCACCCTGCCATTAGCCAGTTATGATCTTGGACAAATAACTTAAAATCTTAGTCTCATCTCCTTTATCCATAAAATGAGAATATTATTACCTGCTTCACTGTATTGACCTCAGTATCATGCGAAACAGTGAATGGATATCTCTAGGCACATACTTAGTACCCGGAGAGCACTCATTGTTATTGACGTAGGTGTCACAGATGTTGGTGTCTTTTCTGGTCTGTTCCCCTTACTAACCCATGAGATCCCTGAAGGCAGGGACTATG